AAAATAACTTCGTGAATGATTCCAACTCATTCAATCAAGTATTCAGCTGCTCTACGTCCAATCGAGAACATATATACTTGATGTAAGTTCATTTTATACTACAGATAGCCTTTTGAATTGCGCATTAATAACCATAACATCCATCCGTCGGGGTTCTTGTGAAGGTACATATCGGCAAAGTCATAATTGAACCAGCAGATTGCACCAAGGGGTTTTCCTGTGGCAAAACATGACGACATTCCCCGTTCGTTTGTGCGTCATTACATAAGGTTTGCTTTCTGTAATTGATTGTTCTCTAGCGGCATTGTTAACAATCAGCACCTGTTTATATATAGATCTATTTTATGTTTAATTTTAGTATTAAAATATAACACACAGCGCGGTCGAGAATAGCAGAAAAAAGCTCATAGAAACCCATGGGTTTGGACCAAAACAAAATGGAAAAAGTCTAAAATGCTTGCACTTTTCATGATCAAGTGTGAAGTGAATTCAACTATAGTTTAAGCAACGACGAAGGATTAATGTCCGAATCGTCAGTAAGTTGTTTCACTATTTTAAGGTGTTCAATTTATTTTTACACAACTGATTCTTTAGAACACCGACGCAGCTCACTCACACTAGTTTTAAAGCTAGTTTCCAGCATATAGTTTAAGCAACATTATTATGATACTGTCGGTAAGCATTTTATCTTAGGAATGAAAAAAGTGTCCGATATTGATAACGGTAAAAAGGGAAACACCTAAGACAGACTAAGGAAATAATGCAAGAATTCTGAAAGGAATTGATTTTATGGTCAAAACACTGAATTACTTAGCATATCAGGGCCGTAGCTAGTAAGAGGCCAACCGAGGCACTTGCCTCGGTAAAATGTTGCCGATGCTTTTTGTTTTTCATCACTGATATCATCTTAGCCTCTCAGAGCCGATTTCGCACGACTGATTTTGTGCAAAAAATATAAAAGTAATATTAATTTTGTACGTATAGCTTCTTTGTTTCATAATTGCATGATTAATTCCGGTTAAATCTGTTCAATAAAGAGTTACCAAAAGGCCCACAAAACGCTGCAAATCGCATTTCCGAGAGACTAAATTTAAATTTTCTCGAAGGRGAATGYCCCCGAACCCCCAGAGTTCTACCTTCGGTGGTCGCTTGCCTCGGTTATCCGTTCACTCTGGCTACGGCCGTGATCACATTCACTGTAGTCGCAAATCTAARTCAGACGACGAACCTCACTCGAGTGCTAAGTCAACACAAATGAATGATGAGTTTGTACGTTTTCGCCAGTGTTTTGCAAAGACTATTAAAGTTTCCAACGATTAATCTGTGCTATGAGAATATTCCAATGGGATCTAAAAAAACTCACAAAATGACTTCATTTCAATCTTTAGGCTCATTTTTATTGGCAATAAATGAAAAAAACGCCAGGTGTTGCTAGCTCTTAATCAGCTCGTTCAGTAACTTGAATGCGCCAAAAGCTAGTGCAATAGAATTGAGTGTTTGAAGTAGTTTTTCAAATGTCTGTAATAATTTTAGTAGCTACTAGCATAAAATAGTTTTTCAAGACTGCAATTTACTAGAATTGTTCAGTAAGGTTTCCAACAAAAACCGACTCGACGCTGGTTCGATCTCTTCTAAGCAAGATTTTTTTGCCTATTTATTCATCCGAGTTTGTTCAGTAAAAGTCAGCCATCGTAGATTATCCGCCATTTTGTTTAATTGTGTTACCGCTGACACGGAAAAAATGGCAGGCGTTAAATAAACTTATTCCCCTCGATCCTTAATTGCTTGAAGGTTTCCTTCGGTTTAATTAAATGATGCTGTTCAAGTGCATTATGCTCGGGTGTGTTCTTATGTATAATTTATTAAACGTTAAACATGGTGCTAATTAATTTAAATATCGTCAGCGCTAAACTACTTGCGCTTAAAGGGCGTACAATGGTAAAGATTTGCTTTCAGATTAAAATGTTTTTCATAGGCGATAATTTCCTCGTAATTCATTCAAAAAAAATATTTTTAAAAACACAATAAGATTGGATGTTTTTTGAATATTGTATTTAATCTTGTTTTGGCGCTATTTTATCAGTCCTTCTCGCGGTGCACTAGGAAGCATCGGCTGGAATCATTTCGATTCATTGGCGAACTATCCTCGTGGAATTGATAATCTCTTCGTGAAATATTTACGGTAATGATACAACAAATTATCTACAAGTTTTTCTTGTCAAATTAATAATTAATGGTCACAATATATGCTATAAGTTTAATATCCAGAAGGCCATTTCATGCCAGCAATTTACAGGCGAGAGTCGGAGAAAATTATAAAGAAKTCCACGTACRCTGTTCAGGTATGTTTTCTCAGTCCGCTGATTCCAAGCACATTATGATTCAGTCATTTTGGCGTACTTTATCGTAACTATAATATTGAGGAAAAATTACTAACGACTCATATTGTGCATGTGTGCTACAAAAGTCGAGGCCAGTTTCAAGCATATTCAATTAGTTCCTGTAATGAACGTGACTAGCTTTTTTAGCTATATATTCCTGATGCAAAAAGGTAGCGAAGAAAAGTACAAACTTTAGAATCGCATCCGTAATTTTTGAGTATTTTGTAATATATGTCACTGATCAAGGGTTTGTTATTCACATTGAACCAAAAACGATTGGTTCTTTGAATAAAGAAACATCAGTAATAAGTTGTTGTTGGCAGGCGTCATGGTTGGCGTTCATTAAAATTACGATGAGTCTGTTGCGCCAATAAAAAAGCAAGTATCACTCATGATTATAATTGAAAAGGAAGCGAAAGAAGAGCTGTCAGCTCAAAATTGCTATTGAAATTCTATAATCGTATGTTTCAATAATATAAGTCTAGCAATTTAGTTACAGAGTGTTTTGAAGAAATATACTGAAAAAGCTATCTTTCCAGCTCATCCTGGTAAAACCCTAATAAAACAGCCTGCATTGATACTTTAAACAGAGCTTCAGGTAGCTTTTAAGAAGATTTTCACAATTTATTTCATTTCAAAGTACAAATATGTTTTTAGTCAGTAATCCAGGGATGATCTTGAATGTCTTGCCATTGCAGGTAATTTCGGTTAAGTGGAAGGCAAAAGTACCATTTGATTTTGATTTTGCAAAGCACTGTAAGCTCCTTTGTTCATTATTCATAATTCAGTTAGAGCTATTTATACCAGACGTCGTATTTCGCAATTATCCAATCAGTTTTTTAAAAACCGAACACAGAACTTGTTTCTATTCCCCGCGTTCCTTTATGAACACAGTAAGCCCGTGTCCGTAGAATCTTCAAAGACTAAATCTGATTACTGAAAAAAAAAACTCGATGAGGATAGATTTTAAGAACTTTATCTTGCAGTTCAGTATGAGGAAGTTTATATACTGTATAATTAACGAGGCCAGCTAAAACGACGATCCCAGCATGCCTTTGGGTTCCTCATTAAAGTTTTCAATATGATTTGCATAGTTTGTGACTAAGACGAAGGCAACTGTTAATTGACCTGTAGATAGTGTTTGGTCATTATACCGTGACAAGCCAAACCCAGATGGAAGGACCTGGTTTAAATTTTAGTATTCTTTGATGATACAAATTTTGGTATTCTTCAGGATGCGACTGCACGCTTTCTACTAAAATAGCTTGAAGTATTAAGTGAACTTGCTAGTAAGTAATCCAATACAAGATAGTTGATAACTATGATACAAGCGATTTGAAAGTTTAATATAGTCTTGCAAAGTTTGTTTATCGTCAAGGTGTTTCCACAGAATTTATCATGTCTAAAATATAACTCAGAGCTTATAGAGAAGATTCACAAGAAGTTGTTGTCGGCTTTTAGATTCCTTTTCCTTTCACTAACGAACAAAGGTCTCTAATTCCACTCAACCCGGTGTTTACGACTGTTCATTTCAGCACAACAAGGACCTCATCTCATTTTAGTCGGTGTAAAGTAAGTATAGGCTGTATCTTGTCGTTATTAGTTCGGTATGTTGCTTGCAAGCTCCCTTCTTCCTTCAGTTCATGGATCAGTTCATGGCAAGGCGGAAAAAGAAAGACGCATTGTTATTTGTTTTGTATTTTCACTATATGCAACGATACACAACAACAGCTATATATTCAATAACATTTCAAAGGATCATTTGCCGATAAGGCATCTCTATTAATCGCAGTTTTGACATTAACTTAATATGAATACAAACGTATCATTCATATGATATTACTATACGGTCATTATTGAACTACGAGAAGATCATTTGTATGGTTTTTATAAACATCAAGCTTTAATCCAAAGTTTATTATGCTTTCATTGTTTAGCTAGACATCCTACTGTTTGTCCAAAGAAAAAAGGAAAAGATATTCATTCATGAAATGCATGTTGTTTTTCGTGTTTTGGGGATTCGGCCATGTCAAATGCTGACTCACATCATAGTCCCGGCTCTATTAACTATGCTCACATGAGACTTAAAACTCCTCATGCGTTGTCAGTTTATTATAGGGGAAGCGAATTGTCCTCTGAAACGTAATGAGCATAGCGAAATCGAAGTTTTAAAGTCGATACCAAGGCTTTGTGCTATACGCTTTCGGACAGGACTTTTATTTCAAAACGTACCAACTAATATAAAGAATGATTTGTTGTTAGACTCCGCGTGTGGACAAAATTGAGTGCAAAACGATACTGTCATACAAAAACCGAGAAATCTTTGGAATACCATTCGTCGCCCCTTATGTTTAGGAAACTCCAAAAGTGGCTAGCAAAAGACTGACACAGAACTTTGACAGTTTTCATATAAAAGACGAAGTATACCAAATATTGAATAGATGATATGAATCAGCTGTACTGTGCATTCAGCAGCTGTTGTTCGCCAATTATATCTTATCGTATAGCTTTTTGAAACTTACAGGGTCATTCAATTCCGAATCTCGCATTTGTAGATGTCATCATGTTGATTACCGACAGAAAAAGTTAAAAGAAATATTCCTTTCCAAACGTTGGCAAAATATGGTACATTTTAGCTGCCCGTGACGTAACGCAAGGCRACGCACAGTCACGCAAAGACGTGACATTTAATATGACAAGTTCACAGTGTCACACGCATGCCAAGGTGGACCATCAAAACATATCATTCTCAACCGCGACTTAAGAAGTCTACGTAGATTATGGATTTTGGGTGAAAACAGGCCCGCAAATATAGGATCTTTAGCACTTTGATGAAGCTTTGGAGAAACTACATCTTTYTGGGASTCCTTCCTTCTTTGAAGTACGCTGGTTAGAGAGAAATCTCCCCAAAATAATTTATTGTTTGGTGCAGTTATTCAGGCATTTATTGCTATATAATTGTTTGTCTTTTGTTGCAGATGTCGGCAGTTTAAAAGAGTAATTCTAATGGGTCGTATTCCTCGTTTAAAATGGCTTGTTCCTCGTTTTGTTCTCGTTCTATTATTTGTGGCCTGCGTYCAGTTGATTGCYTACATGGGTGTTATACCATCCACATTACAAAATACTGATGTACTGTGTAATTGCCAGTCTGCTGTAAGTGARTGTGCAACGAGTAATGATGAGACAACGGAGAACTTCTCAAAAGATAAAGCTCCAGTRACATCGTCTGTTAGAAAGAACTTTGAACAGAARCAGRGTGTTGAAGAGCAATTGTCAAAACGGAAGTCGACTGATCAYGGGGAAGAGGAGAAAGCGAAAGCTCATTTACAAGATTTGAATCGTCTTGGTAAAGAACTCAAACAGCTGGCGAAAGACATGGTCGAGACTCAAAGAGAYGTGGTTAAATTTGCTACAATATACCACCGTCTAGGCAGGCATATATCATCWGTTAAYAGTCTACTACATTCAATAAAACACCCTCCTGTTGATGTCAATCAAAATGTCTTAGGCAAAAGAACCTTAAATAGTGACAAGACTATGAAAAACGTTGTTTGCCCAGAAAAGTTTCTTGGCAAGGATTTATCCGTTGGTTATCCATGGTTTCGTAAAGGTTTTGCTACTGAAAACTGTACTCATTCTACTCCAATGCGCAAACTCATTACAGTGTTACTACACATACACGAACAGTTACCCAAACCTGCAAAAGATCTGGTCACGCTTGTTAAAAGTTTAGGAAAACAATATCCCGGTGTCGAAATAGTCATTGCTACAAGTAGAGACGAACCAAGGCTTAAAAACCTCTCATCAACATTAACCAATTCTTTAAAACTTCGTATTTTTTCCAAGAATCATCAAGGTCAAGTATGGAGCAGTTTGCTTAATGATGTCGTAACTCCTTTTGTGTTTTCAGCGACAGATTTGACTCATTTTGACGACGATATCGATTTTSTAAGACTTATTCGGGTTCTTAGCAACAGCGAGGAAGTTGTTATCGCAGGAGGAGGGTATCGTAATCAAAAGGGATTATGGGATATTGGTTGTCTACAAACGTCGTTCCGTAATTGGACGATGTCGTTTCGTGGTGGCTATTACCAGTCTTCTGGTGACTGTCTCGCTTGTGATTATCTCGAAGGGCCCTGGGTCGGGAAAACTGAAGTTTTGAAGAAAATTGGATTTGATAAAGGGTGAGTAGCTAAACGAATAATATGCGAACAGAGCAACATCAAACAATACAAACAACAAAACAATTTAAAACAAAAACAGATACAAAGCTAAATACAAAACGAACAAGCCTAAATGAAAGAGTCAGTCGTAGAGTTACAATTCTATGCGTGTATTCTCAAGTCTTCATCAGTTTCAGCAAGCGTCTGATGTACAATCAATTTTGCACTTCTGTTAGGATGAGCTATTAAATTTGTGTATTTTATACCTTTCAGTCTAGAGAAAGGCGCGTTTCACGACATGTTTTGGCGAATCAAGAAAGCTTTACCAGGAAACATAGCAGTGTCATGTCCCGATATCATGTTCAACATACACACCAACCCCGTACCCGATAGTTACTATGTACAGCTAGCAAGCAAATGGGAAATAAAAAAATGGGTGGACGCAAGTGGGCAAGTACGATGGTACGGTTGTAGGCGTGGCTTTCAACATAATATCGGTACGCAGTCGTGTGCCATGTCTAAGGGCGTGGCCAACCCTCCATGTGATTTAGAAAACTTTGCCGATGCAATCAAGTTCCTGATGAAAGAGTGTGAAGACGCTGGACTTTTCTGTGAGTTACAGGAAGGGACATTACTCGGTAAGACTTTTGAATTTTAATTCTCTGGCATTAGTGCAATCTTTATCCGAAGCCTCACAATAAGCTAGAGTGATCGCACGTAATCCGTGCAACTGTACAAWCTAAATAGTTCTATTKAGTTGTATTTAGTAAATCGTGCATGCGAATTMAATTGAATTGATACAAATGAAGCATTCAATATACCRTATTGCTTCAGGTCCACTTTTAGTACAAATTAATACTACTTAGATTTTGTACAGTTGCACGCTTTAAGTGCGATCACTCTAGGTAGACAGCGCGTTCTAATACTCCAGTTTMSAGATCTTATTTGTGCAGCCTTAACCTCGAAAGCATGTAATATGTTCTTTTATTCAGAAGAGAATCTATTTTAATTCAAAAACTATGTGTACAAAGAAGACAATAAAAGTTTATGCTTGATTGAAGATAAGCTTGCACAAAAGAGAATTCGAAACTGGAGTATTGGGCGATGACCATGTTTAAAGCTCACAAGCGCGAGATCATTTCATTTTACTCTACATAATTACAATCATTTTATCGTATTCAGGTGCTGTTAAATTCAACAAGGTTTTACCGTGGGAGAGAGACGCAGATATCACATTTCTCACTGCAAACTACACTGCTTTGAAAAAATTAAGACCTAAGTTCGTAGAACAGGTATTTATAATATAATATAATATCTGTATGAATAAATCGCCAAAACTGCAGTGCATCGTTGTTRGCAGTGGCCGCAATGTATCTTGGTTGTCTGACCGTRGAGCATCATGGTTGTCTCAGTTYGCGGTGCATCATGGTCGRCAGTGACCGCGGTGCATCATGGTTGTCTGAGTCCGCGGTGCATCATGGTCGGATGTGCCTTTAAGAGGCAGCTATCTCCTGCTATCACGTCGCGATTCTTTTAATATCCAGAATATGACAATAACTAGAATATGACATTCTAATCCTTTAAAATTCTTTTATAGCACTTAAGATTTAGGCACCGTATATTACATTCAATCGGATTTTCTATGCCGACAGGGCTATACTTTATCTGATGATGACGATTCATTATGGTGTTGTGTCGATGGGAGGCAAGCAGGTGGCAAATTCACCGTCGGTACATCGCGATTTACAATAGAAATGTATGGACAACACATGATGGAGTCCGAACTGCTAGTGGCCAGCGGTCAGTCTCCAACAAAGGTCAGTATAACGTCGAGAGGCAATAATTTTTCCTTTTTTTTAATGTCAGCATTAAAATATCGCTTTTGTATCTACATTTTGGGCACAATAATTAAAGAAAGTAAGTTCAAGTTCATATTTGTTTGTACAACCTTTTCCAGGTTCAATTTGCTGGACAGTGGGTGAATGTGGTACGTAATCCTGGTTTRTACGCACGTAATCGATATGGTCCAAATCACTTCAGGCACGCCGAGCACTGGATGGATTTAGGACAGGGTACTGGTTGGGAATTTTATCACCCAGGGACGTTTTCTGCTTGCCCTTATCCTAACCACTCAGCTTGTTTAGATCAATATCCAGCAGATGGAAATATTCAATTTAGTGACTATACTTCAAAATAGTATGCATAGAAAATATTGAACGAATTATGTCAATGATCACCGATATGGAATCGATGGTTCTCCGATGATTCACTGAATGCTTACTGATCACTGGTGCTGAAAGGAAAATATCGAGCACTTATCGATTCGACACACCGATGGTTAAAGATTGACTTCACCGATTTGGAATCGATCGAAAAAGTTGCTTACGAAAATTTAACGAATGTTTACCGAGAATTTTGCGAGACCTCTTGATACAAACAAAAAATTATCGCTTATCGCAGACGTTAGCACAAAAAAATAATCGCGAATTAACGTATTTTTACACAATAAATAGGATGGTAAAATGAAAGTAATTTTGTAAAGAAAGATTTTTTTCTAATATAAACTTTATTCGCGTTCGTGTTGTTGTGAACAAAAATAGCCATGCTTATACAATGTTGCTAAATTAAAAATATTTTGGTTAAAAGGTGTGTCTGTCTACATTTGTATTTACTTTTAATAATAGATAATAATAATAGATTAATAATTAAATTTTGAATGGCGTATTAACCATGGAAGCCATTCGAGTGTTTGTTGTATAATTTAAACCCCTTAAATTAATAGCTCTGGGAAGCCAATATGCTGTCATATTTCATTCAGACAGTGCTCAGACATATTTGGAGACTATTCCATTTTCAAACTAATTATAAAAAGCTGGAATTCGTTTTTGGGTAATTAGAAAATTTATAGATATCATTTTATAGCATCAAATATAACTTGAGTTGTTGAACAACATCAAAACTTTCATACCAGCAAATGGAATGAGATTTTGAAACTAGTAGTAGGCCTCTGTCGGTCAGTGCTGACCATGGTGATGCATCCTAGTCCTGGTTGACTGCTCGACTGTAGCAGCATCTCATGTGGCTAAGAGACCAATGCGGGAGTGACAATCCTTGTTGCAATGGTCACATCTATAGGTGGAATCTGGTTGGCGTTGTTGCTCTTCTTCCTGCGGGCTCTCTTAACTGCCGCTTCATTACGCAGTATCGAAACTAGAGCATTCATATAATTATACAGCTTTTTCAAATGGTACGTTGAGTACTGAATAGTAATATAGTGTATTCCAGGACCGAAATGCATTGTTGGTATTCCGTGTAGAGCTGACTTGTTTTCCATCGGGGTACACATATCATAGGGGGCATAGTAATCAATTTGAAACATTGGAAAACCCCTAGACTTCCAACAAAGCATTTTCGTATTGGAATTCCCTGTCTCAACGTTTCATATAATAGCTGTTTAACCTAAAGAACATACATGCAACGATTAATTTATAATGATTATTATGATAACATAGAACGACGATATCATACATAATACATTATTTGCCTTTTAAAAAGTATCAGTTTTTTTTAACCTGGTGTTCAAACAACAATCTTCCCATGTACAAGAAACATTTTGCATGTTATTCTGAAGTCCGTAAGTCAGGGAAGACTACTATTTATTTTAATTTGACTACAAGCAAACATTCATTTGTCATATGCCAAGAAGAATACAAGAACGACCCGTCAAGAAAGACGTATTTGAGGGTACACATGATATAAAAGAAAAAAAGTAGTATTGATTTTAGTTTAAAGAACATTTATGTACCAAGTTTCAGTTGAGATTAAATTTTAAAGGCAGAAACAGGTGAAATACTAATTTTTCTCGATAAAAAGTGCTATTTTAGGCCAGTTCGTCTACAATGACTGTTGACACAAAGCCTATGTACCAGACATTGAGACATGATGTATGCTAGTAGTAAAAATACACCTATTCAAATACTGGAACTTTTTTCCTATTAAAAGCACCAATGCAAAGTGCTATATATTATTTATTATGACTGAGTAATTAAGGTGGAAATGTTCCAATAAAACTGAATCCGGAAGAAACTAATGCGATGCCTGAAGTACACTAACAAAGGTTCCATGCAATTTACTTTAATCACCAGTATTTATGTCAACATGCATTATGATACTTCATTTTGTGAAGCTGCTTTTCTAGATTAAGAAAAAACAGGGAAAAAAAAATAAAATTCTGAACAGAAATGGCTTCTATTTGGTGTTTTTCCATCTGCGCGCGGTCCAACTTTCGTTCCCTGGGGAACTCCATCGGTCAAAGCTCCAATTTCTGGAAACCCCAAAATTCAAGACCTTCATGATAATATTCATAGAATAAAAATAATTTGTAATAATGGGTACTATTAAACTCTTCGTGGGAGACAAGTCTCGATTGGTTTAATGATCAGCTCTTGACATTTGGCTGTGGGACAATCAAACGATAATAACAAACCGAGTACCAGCAAGACAAATTAATCCAGCAGCGACAACAAGTTCTTCCTTTGGCACCCTTAGATTGAATTCAGTTATATTATTAACGTCCTGATAATACCACCATGCAAGATTACTGTGAAAACAGACAGTACTCATCGATTATGGAAAATTAATTGTCAAAACAAATTTTTGTTTATTTACTTTAGAATTTTCGAGGCTTTTCGTGTTGCACTCACTACTGATTGACAACCTTTGAGATGAAAGTCGGCAGTGAATATACAAATGGATTTTGTTTTTCAAATGTGTTGTGCAACCGCGAGCACTTTTGCGCTTAAATGGAAGTTGGTTCCACATATACATCGACTCTGGGGAAAAAACAGCTCAGGAAAACTTAAAAATATGAGAAAAGAAGATAAAATAAAAGCCACAGACAGCAAACTTAGTGAACAGTCCAGAAGCAAAGAAGGAACTGAAAGCGAGGAGACGATGAGACAATAAAAAGGGAAAAAAAAATAAACGAGACATGAGAAACGAGATAAAATAAAAAAAATAAACAAACGAGAATAGAACGAAAGATATAATCAATTCGAAATGAAGTATTGAAAACCAAATTAATGAATAAAATATTCACAGGAAAGAAATTTAAAAGAAAAAATAATTGGAAATATGGTTACGGTTTCCCGTTGATTAATCGAAGCAAAGTATAATTAGACTATCGCTGGCACAAATTCTGTATAGTTAATAAATTATGAATAACTTTAATAGTAAAATTTATTCCAGTCTCCACAAAAAAGTAAGTTGAATTGACTATGTACAAGAAACAAGATAAAATCACAACAATTTCAGTAATCGAACTCTATAAAAGTCTTGATTCCTTCCGATGTTTGGAAAATACAAATCTTAAATATCGGAAGAAAAAAAACATTGTGTCATTGATATTCAAGACAATCTATGGTTTTCACGAGTGACTTTCCTAGAAACGTCCATTCATGTCCTCTCATTGAAGCGTGTAACATCAATTCTTAAGTGATATTTCCAAAATGATTTTTGAACAACAAACTATTTGCTTATCAATCAAGATTAATCGTTAAAGTAATCTATTCCCTGCATCGTTTCTCCTAACAACGAGCTCTTACTACAAAATATAATTTGAAATTTTCACGGGGAATTATCCAATGAATTTCTCTTCGTCATCGCTGTCATTACTGTACCAGTTTCGCTTTGAGATGATTGTCTTTTTGCGCGAACGCGAATGGGCACTCCGCAAGGATATGAATTGCGCGCTATCCGTGCACGCTGCGTCCCCAAGAAAAGCTCAAGCAAAGCTCTTCTAAATCGTCTTTGTAAAAGGCCATAAATGAATGGATCTATAGAGCTTTTTAAGAACGCTATCCATCGTAGCGATATCGTTACCCTATGTGGCAGGGGCTGCTCTCCATTAACGAGTTCCAGTAACCTAGCYGCTGTGTAAGGTGCCACACAACAGATAAACGCGCCTATTACAAACAGAATCTTTCTCGCGGCTTTGAATTCACGCTGTCTGCTAGATTCTGTTGACATTGTGCCACGWATTCCTGGCGCAAAATGCACCGCACTGACAACGGCGTGCCCAATTCTTCTCGAATGTAATCTCGCTACCCCAAAGATCTTGTAGTAAGCGCCTAGCATTATAACCAACGAGAGACCKACATTTGATGTATAAGTTGTTATAGTAAAGCCAATATAGCGAACGTCTTGAAGATCCGAAGGGAAAGTACAAACAAAGTACCTTGTATTAAAAGTATACCATCCCATACCAATAGGAGCAATAGCAAAAATAGTTGCCTGAACCCATACAAAACAGATCATTGCCAAAGCCCACTGTAGAGTCATCTTAGCTCTGTATTGTAAAGGTTTAATCACCGCAATATAACGATCGATAGATATTGTTGCAAGAGTCAAGATAGCGGCTATACTGAGTAACATGTTCCAAAACCCCGTTGACTGGCACCAGAAGTCTCCAAATGGCCAATGATTGAGAATCACCGATCCAAATGAATATGGCATTGCAAAAATAGCCATCATAAAGTCACAAATGGCCAAGTTAACGATAAATACGCTGGAGATGTGACGTCGCAGTTCTTTACTTCTATAAACGACTAAACATACGAGGAAATTCATTACAAATGCTGCAGCATTCATGAAGAATATCGTTAGCGARAAGGCGAACGTTTCTCCTTTGGAAAGATTGCCCATAGTTCYGTTAGTTTAGCGTTATGCCATCCAGAGTGTAGAAAACAAAATTCATCTGATAGTACGATAAGTACAAGACCTGACGCAATATAAACCTACAAAGTATAAACAGTATTATTATGGTATGGCTTACTGTCCAAATTAATACATCAAAGTAACGCAGATGTTCATGGAAACATGCATGCGCTACTAAGCTGAAGATTTTACAACGAAGAGCATATGGTGTGTTTAATTCAAATTTGAAGGACAAGCATACATTTTGTAACAATACTTAGTAAATTTACATAGTTATCGGCCAATTAGCATAGCTTGTTGCTTAAATATCATCATATTTGATGACAATTCCAAGTCTACATCTTTYTTGACATCTGCAGACAGCAAGCGAGGTCGGTTTTCCAAATGTGCAATAACTTAGTGTTCCCGTTTGAAAGGGAGATCGATTAGTCGTCAATCTCGTAAAGTGAAACTAGGAAGTAAGGGWATGAAGTCCCGACAATTCTCTTGATCACTTAACACCTTTAAGGAGAAGATGAAAYGATTTCAATAAAAACAAATGATCGAGTAACCAGCAACTCATACCTTTTCAGATCCTCTATTTGTTACACTATTTGATCCACAATTTCGTCAATAAAAACACAAGTGCTCTCGCGGAAAACACGTTTCTATACACTTTAACCTGACACAACAGCCAAAAACTATCGTAGATTTGTTTACGACCATAATAAAACTTTTGAACGCTCAAMGAGAAGGATTTGGAACGATCTTTTCGCGTCTGAATTATATTTTTTTTCTCAGGATGAAAACAGGTGTCGTCATTCTCATGCAAATTGGGTTAAAAGGGAATCTTTCTTGTACCGTATTTTTGCGKAGTGTTTACACAGCACCAATAATAACGCTGCGACCCAAAATTAGAATAATGAAGCGCATTTGTAGTTTCTCGGCAGAAAGCGGCCGCATCGGATTTGTTCACAAGATGATTGTCTTCTAAAAAAAAAACACAAGATTTTTCCAGCGAAGATTTCTTTTTAAGTGCGCAGTGGTCTTAAAGCAATCGGATCGTGTCTTATTGCGCGACTTGAATATTCAATACAAAATCTAGGAATTGATTTACATTTAAAGATCATCTTGTGTTTCAATTATTATTTTTTCTTGGATCTGTTATCTATGAGTGTTACGGGAGGTAGTCGAGGATCTCCCGAGGCGCTGGTATTGTGCGCTAGGTTTTATCTCGCTTAGCACATCTCACGGTACAAGAACATACATGCTATCAACTAATAAGAAATAACTCTATAAACGAAATTATAAACTCAATTCATTACATTTTGACGCTTTTTTTATTGCGATAGTTCTCGATGTCGTGAATAATTTCATTACATTATTTTGTTGATCAAAACAATACCATTTTAATCTTTATACTTTAAACTGTTTATTAAATATCAAATATATTTATCAAAAATAAAAAAGCCAAAAAATAAACTCTTGTCCAGCTTGGAAATTCTTTTTTGGACGTTATTTCGACGYGAGCGGTAATTTGAAGACAATTTATTGTTGTTGTTTAAACATTGTGTTTTAGTCAAATTGTTTAAAAATAAAACAACATTTTCTAAAATGGATAATAGGAAAAAAGAAAAAAAATACAAAATGGACTATACGAGAAGGGATTAATCAGAATTGATTGTTAGATATACGAAAGCAACAAGATTCAGTCTAAAATATGTAACGTATAATCCTTTCTCTATGTTGTGCAAACAACATGTTTCAGTTCTTTGATTGAAACTTTAACTTATACAAATATAAACCAAAATTAAAAAGAAATGGGATAGAATTTAACATAAACTAGAGCTCGCTAGACCTAAATTTTTATCTAAACAAGTAGGAGTAGTAGCCACCTACCTTGAAAGACAAAGACAAGCTCCAGTCTAGATGTTTCTCGAGCAATAATCTGATCTTCAGTGGGCACAGCAATTAATTGTGAGCAAGGCAATGTCAACTGCGAATGCCATGTAATTCAAGATTATTATATCCTCGGTTTAACTGAAAAAAAGTGCCAGAATATATAACCAGTATAACGTGATTTGAATTGATGCCTGAAAGATATGAAAGGGACGGCCAAAAATTACAGCAACTTCCGCACACAAGGCAACAAATTTCATTTCCTAAGGACTAGAAAACGCTTAAATGCTAATTTAAAATAAAAATACGAGATAAAAATTTTAAGTTTTAAAATCGAGGGTTTAAACCCAAGCTCACCTTGGCTGCTTTGGTCTCTAGCCATCAAGATAGCTCATCTAGATTATGGTAAGGTTGTCCGATTAGACTGGATTTCCCTTTATTTTTCTTGAGATTATCATTAACACTACACCACGTATGCTTCAAAATGTATGTCTTTCGATTGATATCTTTTCGTCGATAACGCAACGAAAAACAGTTTCACATTTCTCAGGCTTCAAGGAAATCGGACGAAAATGAGAAGAATTTTTTTTGGAATCCAACTGCGCATTAATACATCATATAGGTATTATGACGAGGTATAAAGCAAATATGACGACGATAAAGCAACAGAATGTTTTATGAATTGGCTGTTCAAGCGCGCTTAGGATTGGTGGAAACTCTGCACACCTTCGACTGAGCAAACAAGAATAGATTTATTTAACAATAAATAACGTCAAAAGGTCTTAAAATCCTGCACTTTGCTTTCTATAATCCGAGTTTTTTTTCTTATGTTAGAATCCCTTACGAAGTAATTTCGCGAAAAAAATAGGTAAGGACCTATTGCGTCAGTCGTTGAGTATTAATATTCCCCMATTATCCACCTCAAGTGAAGAGCTCTTGAAACACAATTCATTCTCAACGAATCTATTGTATAACTTCGACTGGTTTTCTGTTGAACAAAAAGATTTAAAAGTATATTTGAAGTCCCCGAACACGATTAATCACTTGCASAATTGAAATGTTTCCCAAACGGCTTGAAATTGAAAGAAATTGTCACTTTGGTTTTTCTTWATAAGAACGCAAGGACGTAATCGTGCACCTAGACCCGGTCCCWCCCGTATTTTAAAAGCATTAACCTRTATACGATYGAGCATCATACGGTATAAGATATATTAGACTTTTAATTAATTTTTCGAGCGTGTCCCATTTCGCCGATGGGCATTTCCTGTAACCTAGACATATTGACTGAAATATGAAAGTTAAGCTTTATGTATTTTATGAATTATATAATCTTGTACACGAGATTTATACCTCTTCAATAAACTCAAGGAAAAAAGTAAGGAAATAGAATACTAAAAGCCACAAAAAACCCACATATTTTCATGAAAGACAATAATAAACCGAGTACAATAATAAAATAATAGYAATAGCAATAACAAACATATACAAAAAACAACAGCAATGCATTACCACTAAATCTTCCATACAATAATAAAAAAATGAACATTAAAAAATAAAATAACAACCTACAAAATAACAACTTACAAAAAACAACGTAATCAACGATAAAAATTAAAAAAACCGTAAAATGACAGAAAAAAATCAACARCATAAAACAATACTCTAGACAAAAAACAGTGCATATATTCATATATTATCCTAGAACACATATAAAAACAGAATAGAGTATGAACGAGTGGGATGAATGGTAAATAAGCGAATGACTAACCATATAACTTCAGAACTTGATCATCAATAATTTACACAGACATTTGGAAAGAGATATGGGCAATAAAATGAAAAGTTCATTAAATAGTCATGAAGAATCAATCAAAAATTCAATTAAACGAAACGTGACTGGAAGTCGAATGGTTGAACGATGACAAAGATCACGAGATGACAGCCAGAGYATGGATTATRTGAACAGCCGGAGTATGGGAAGAGATGAGAGAGATAAAATGAAAAATCTAAACACTGAAAAAGAAAGGATTCCATGAAAAGAAGGAACTTCCTGAACACAGATAAAAAGAAAAGGAAAAAAAAGGAAAAGGAAAAAAAAGAAAAGGAAAAAGAAAGAAAAGGAAAAAGAAAGAATAACGAAACAAAAGGACTCCTAAATCAAGAAGAGGGAGACATCAAATATAAAATATAAAAAACAGAAATATAAAGACGGAACCAAAAAGGATTAGATTCCTTGTAAAGATGGAATTGAAATGTATAATAAAAAAATAAAACTAAAAAAGAGAGAAAAAACCCGGAATACTTAAAAAGGTAAAAAAAGAAAAGAAATTAAAATACTCCGTCAGATTTCGGAATCATTCTAAGCTTATAATTTCTGTACAAAAGGTGATTTGAATGCATTTTCTTCACGAGAGCTTCTCCAGGTTCAAGTTCACTAAGTAGTGACGTCATGTAGTGAWGGGGGGTGGGGTGGGGMATACTTTTATGCATCCTAAACACTTGCTAAGGTACTTAGGACATCGAAAACCAGTTTCCTGTTATTACTATCTCGTCCTGATGTAAATCTCATAAGCGGTCCGTCGCAAGAAAGAAAAACAGATCAACGCTTCCTTTTCGAGATTGAATCATCCACAAATATGAATATTTATTACATCATAACACCTTCGGGGTACTGATAAAGTTATAAAAATTGTCGCCACAGGTATTCCAACGTGTTAAGAATGTAAATTACATTCAGTTGCAAGAAATGATAAAGATAATAGTCTCCTTCACGGTTACCTGCGCCATCTTGAAAGGTAGCCGTGCCTTTGCATCGAAGCGAGACAACCGTTGAGCGTGCAATGATAGAAACCTTCTTTCACACCTATAGACTATATTCACAGGTTTCTATCATTGCACGCTCAACGGTTGTCTCGCTT